TAAATATAAAAATATCTAAATACTTTGATAACACTTTAAACCAGTGGTCACCAAACTTGTTCCTGGAGGGCCGGTGTCCAGCATATTTTAGCTCCAACCCTAATCAAACACACCTGAACAGCTGATCAAGCTCTTACTAGGTATACTCGAAACATCCAGGCAGGTGTGTTGAGGCAAGATGGAGCTAAACCCTGCAGAGACACCGGCCCTCCAGGACCAGGATTGGTGACCCCTGCTTTACACCATGGGTGTCAAACTCAGCTCCTGGAGGGCCGCAGCTCTTCACAGTTTTGCTTCAACCCTATTCTAACAGCTGATCCACTAATCGAGGTGACTAGAGAATATTAAGCAGGTGGGATTTGGAGGTAGATGGAGCTAAAATCTGCAGAGCCGTGGCCCTCCAGGAGCTGAGTTTAAGACCACTGCTTTAAACAATGCAATATATCGCATAATTAAAAGATATTCCTAATGCATTATTTATAACACCTTATGATGCATTCTAGATGACCTGTAATCACATGTACTGTATATCTCAGTGATAATAAAATAATCAAACTATTAATAGATGAAAACAACATCATCATCTGTAGCAAAGAATCTGCAAGCAAATGCATTCACAATGTTCATCAATCTCTAAGCTGCGCTGTGTTGAACACTCATGTTTATAATGACGAGCTGAAAGTGTTTCCAGCACACATAATTGATGAGAACTCTGAGCTGAGGCATTATTCTCAGTCTTCAGGAGTTTGATGATATGATGAAGCGCTTGCGTTTATGTCAGATGCTTTTACACGGGCTGTAAGGTGATGCTGTCATGCATTTGAGGACTTTCAGAGCTGCAGAAAGAGCAGACCGATCCTCATCACATCACATATGAACATTTATAATAATCATAAAGTGTTTTACGAGGCTGGAAAACATCCCGCTTGACTGCTGTGTGCTGATCTGCAGTCAGTAAAGATCATGTATGAATAATATATCAGACTATCAGCTCTCCAGGACAGACCTTTAGCTTTAACATCATTCAGACTACACAAAGCTCTAAGAGTACAACTATAAAGGCAAGATATTGACTACTGCAAACTACAGACATGCATGAACAACCACCGGACACTTTATTAGGTACACCTGTCCACCTGCTTGTTAACACAAATGTCTAATCAGCCAATCACATGGCAGCAGCTCACTGCATTTCGGCATGTAGACATGGTCAAGAGGATCTGCTGCAGTTCAGAGCGAGCATCAGAATGGAGAAGAAAGGGGATTTAAGAGACTTTGATCGTGGCATGGTTGTTGCTGCCAGACGGGCTGCTCTGAGTATTTCAGAAACTGCTGATCTACTGGGATTTTCACGCACAACCATCTCTAGGGTTTACAGAGAATGCTCCGACAAAGAGGAAATATCCAGTGAGCGGCAGTTCTGTGGGCGCAAATACCTTGTTGATGAGGCCAGAGGTCAGAGGAGAATGGCCAGACTGGTTCCAGCTGATAGAAAGGCGACAGTAACTCAAATAAGCACTCGATACAACCGAGCTCTGCAGAAGAGCATCTCTAACCCTAACCCACACACACAAACACACACACACCAGATCTGGTTAACACAGCGTTAAAGCATGGTGTTTCAGGAGTAAATCCAGCTGAAAGACTGTCGTCCCACATACACACACACACACACACACACACACACACAGGCTTTAGTGTAAATCCGGCCTGCACTTTCTCATCTCATTTGCATAAAGTTCAGCCTTTCTCAACTCCTGATGCTCTCGTCAGCCAATCCCACAATCCCCCACTGCAGAACAACACCTGCTCACACCACCTGAAGATCCCAACACACACACACACACACTCCATCTGCAGATATGATCAAACACACACACAAACCCACACACACACACTTTATCTGCAGATATGCTCACACACACACACACACACACACACGAACGCACGCACACTGCATCTGTTTAAACACGCTCACAGTTACACACTTCATCTACAGATCTGCTCACACACACACTTATTCAAACACACACATGCAGGCAAAAACACACTTTATCTGCAGATCTGCTCAAACATACACACCGACGCACACACATACACACTCACACACTTCGTCAGCAAATATGCTTCAGACGCACACACTCATTCAGACACACACTCATACAAACTCTCTCACACACATCCACAGATCTGCTTAAACACACACACACACTTCATCTGGAGATCCACACACACACACTTAATCTGGAGGTCCATGCAAACACACACTTTATTTTGAGATCCACACACACACACACTGCATCTGCAGATCCGCTCAAACACACACACACATACAAGCACACACTTTTCACCTGCTAGACAAGGATAAAGCCACAAAGCAGCATAACACACACTCCGGCAACCAATCACAACACCTTAGCAACAGCATAGCAACCACCTGCCAACCAACCAGAGCTGTGAACAGCAAACATCATTCACAAGTCCTCCATCCAGAACCAGATGCATCAAATACTTCTGCAACATTCCTCTGCTTTAATCACACACACACACACACACACACACACACACACACACACACACACACACACACTGTCAGAAAAGTGTGCAGATTCTGTGTGGGCCGCCGTCGCAGAACTGTTCGGCACCGATCCACAGGCCACAGCACTTATATTGGGAATGGAGGAGCAGCAAACACAACATGCAGACCGACAGCAGCTCTCACAACACACACACACACACACTTTACCTTACACTGATGGAGGAGTTACTAAAACATACAGGAGTCTGTGCTGATATTATTATATCCATTGTGTGTTAATCAGTGCTGGCCAAAGATTCACTGCATCCAAAATAAAAGACTTTTGACCTGATAAATACACTCACCAGCCACTTTATTACCGGGTCGGACCCTTTTCTCCTCCAGAACTGTCTGAATCCTTCATGTTGTAGATTCTTCAAGCTGCTGGAAATATTCCTCAGAGATTTTGCTCCATATTGTCATGATAGCATCACACAGTTGCTGCAGATTTGTCGGCTGCACATTCATGATGCCAATCTCCCGTTCCACCACATCCCAAAGCTGCTCTATTGGATTGAGCTCTGGTGACTGTGGAGGCCATTTGAGTGCAGTGAACTCATCGTCATGTTCAAGAAAGCAGTCTGAGATGATTGAGCTTTATGACATGCTGCGTTATCCTGCTGGAAGTAGCCATCAGAAGATGGAGACACTGTGCTCATAAAGGGATGGACATGGTCAGCAGCAATACTCAGGTAGGCTGTGGCGTTGATGCTCAATTGGTACTAATGGACCCAAAGAAAATCTCCCCCACACCATTACACCACCACCACCAGCCTGAACCGCTGACACAAGGCAGGATGATCCATGCTTTCATGTTGTTGAGGCCAAATTGTGAGCCGAGCATCCGAATGTGTGAGCAGAAATGGAGACTCATCAGAGCAGCAACGTTTCTCCAATCTTCTATTGTCCAGTTTTGGTGAGTCTGTGTGAATTGTAGCCTCAGTTTCCTGTTCTTAGCTGACAGGAGCGGCACCCGGTGTGCTCTTCTGCTGCTGTAGCCCATCCGCCTCAAGGTTGGACGTGTTGTGTGTTCAGAGATGCTCTTCTGCAGAGCTCGGTTGTATCGAGTGCTTATCTGAGTTACTGTCGCCTTTCTATCAGCTGGAACCAGTCTGGCCATTCTCCTCTGACCTCTGGCCTCATCAACAAGGCATTTGCGCCCACAGAACTGCCGCTCACTGGATATTTCCTCTTTGTCGGAGCATTCTCTGTAAACCCTAGAGATGGTTGTGCGTGAAAATCCCAGTAGATCAGCAGTTTCTGAAATACTCAGAGCAGCCCGTCTGGCAGCAACAACCATGCCACGCTCAAAGTCACTGAAATCCCCTTTCTTCCCCATTCTGATGCTCACTTGACCTGCAGCAGATCCTCTTGACCATGTCTACATGCCGAAATGCAGTGAGCTGCTGCCATGTGATTGGCTGATTAGACATTTGTGTCAACGAGCAGGTTGGACAGGTGTACCTAATAAAGTGGCCGATGTGTGTATTTATGATGCATATATATATATATAAATACGCACATGCATGCATATATTTAAGAAAATGTTTATCTTTATTTATAAATATATATGTGTGTATATGATACAAATTATACAGAAATTTAAAGAGAGAAAAATGTTTTGTAGTTTTGTTTTTATGCATGTGTGTGTGTGTATCATACATATTCATAATAAATATATAACACACATCAAAATTATGTCTAAACAAACCTTTATTTTGGATGTGATTGATCATGATAATTCTTTGCCCAGCACTATAATAAACATATAAAGTTAAATGGACTGTATACACACACACACACACACACACACACACACACATGCAAGCCTTTTTTACCACACAATGAATTTTCTAAAAAATTATTACTTTGAATTCTCAATTCTCAACTTTTTTACACTTAGAATTCTTGCAAATCTGACTTTACACTTTGCACTTTTCAGACTTTTTTGTCTAAATGGTGAAACTTGCAATATATTATATTATTATAATATATAACAATATAATATATATTTAGTAATTATATTATTAAATATATTATAATAAAAATATTATATTTGACACTTCCTTCCTTTTCCTGATGCTGTCAGAATCATCTCTCCATGTACTCTCTGCACTTCAGCAAGTGCACTAGAAATCAAAGCTGCAGCGGAGCGTACTGTAGCGTACAGTATTCCTGCAGTGTGTGTACTGTACATGTCAATCTGTGAGTGTGTGTGTGTGTGTGCAGTATAGTGCAGCGCCGGTCTAAAGGGGGCGCCACTGAGACAGAGAGCAATTACAGTACAGCTATCGCTAATCCACTGCAATAAACACACTTTGAGGACACACATCCACTCCTAATGACTGACAGAGAGAGAAACACAATCTCCTGACACACAGCAGAGGCAGAGAAGAGCTGAAGAGGCTCCTGAGGGACTTACCGAAGCAGAGACCGAGGCGTCAGGCCCCAGCGCGGCTCTGTGCGTGTGTGTGTGTGTGAGTGTGTGTGTTCGGTCTCCTGATCAGTGTCCTGCACTCAGAGAGTCCCGCTGTCGCTCCTTCATCTGTCCTCAGATCAGTCCGTCGTTACGCGCTCAACTTTAGTTTGCAGAGGCGCTTCATCATCATCATCTTCATCTTCAGTATTTCACGCGTGATTATCGCTCATTGATTCGGTCTCCGCTGGAGCTCCGCGTTCCTCCGTCTGCAGTCCGCCCGTCGGTGCTCTCTGCTCGGCCCGCGCTCACTCGAGTCTCCGCCGCCGTTTCCAGGGTAACGCAGAGATTCCCGCCGGCGCTCATCGTTCGCTCCGCGGTGAACGCGACAGAAGCGCGCGCGGCGGGTTGATGTGCGAGCGGCCACCCGCGATCTTCATCCCGTTACTCCTGCACCGTCGTCTTCATCATCATCATAACCATCATCATCACCGAGAATTATAGATGTGATGTATTCAGCGCGACGGTTAGACGCGCAGCGCGAGAGTCAGGAATGGTCCTGCGTGGGCGGGCCGCGCGCGCATCCTCCTCCTCATCTTCATCTCACACTCACACACACAAAATATAAAAACCATGCAGTCCTACAGCGCGCGCGTGTCTGACAGGCTGAAGGAGATCTGATACTACCTCACATGTGCACGAGCCGCGCGCGCACACTGCGTTTCCATCCAAAAGACGCGAATGAAGTGAATGCGCACACTGGAATGATCACAGACACTTGCGAATAAACGGGAAAAACGGAATTTGCTACGAGAAACTGAGCGAGTCTGCTTTAATAGATGAGGAGGAGGAAAGAAGAAGCTGCTGACATGATGAGCGCGCAGACAGATGCTCAAGACAGTTCTGGAGGGAAGAGTATAGCGAGTAATAACACTGAAGGGGCCACGGTGGCTCAGTGGTTAGCACTGCACCCTCACAGCAAGAAGGTCTCTAGTTTGAGTCTTGGCTGGGTCAGTTGGTGTTTCTGTTTGGAGTTTGCATGTTCTCCTCGTGTTGGCGTGGGTTTCCTCTGGGATTTGATGAACTAAATTGGCTGTAGTGTATGAGTGTGTGTGTGTGTGGGGGGTGTTTCCCAGTACTGGGTTGCAGCTGGAAGGGCATCTGCTCTGTAATACATGTGCTGGAATAGTTGGTGGTTCACTCCGCTGTGGCGACCCCTGAAGAATTAATGGACTAAGCTGAAGGAAAGTGATTGAAGAACACTGAAGCCCTGTGATGACGGACTGACAGAGGGCTGAGGCCTTTTAATCAGCACAACATCTCACATCTGACACACTGGAGATCTGCACAACAACATTAATGAGGCAAACACCCTCACACACACACTTACATCTGTCAAATCATCTGAGAGAAACGACAGCACTGTAGCCCAGACCGATGAAGACTTTCCTCAATAAATCTGAGTTTCTGTGCATTTCTTTATTGAATAAAAGTTTCTCGTTCTCAGCTGTGCGCATCAGGTTCTATGTGGGTTTTCTAAAGATTCAAGATTCATAAGTGTTTGCACATCTTGGTATTTCCATCAAGCATTTTTATGCAATAAACCAAAATATCCAAATATAAGTGAAGCGCTGCGTTTTCATCCACCTTTTAAATGTTCATTTTGGATATGCGCATAAACAACACCATGATGAGCATGCATTTAGAAAATGTTTTTTCAAGAGTTCACCCTCAGATGAGTGATTACAAAGCGTGTTTGGCATGCTGTCCGGGGAGAGAGCCCTGAGCTCAGAAGATTCTCGAGCCCAGGGCTCCCTCCCGTTTGCAAGGCGAGAGGGGAGTTTGAGCTCAGGTAGAACTTGAACACTTCCCTGCTGTAGTAGCTGATGAACAGATAGTGATCGCTCTTAAGAGATAACTACTGACTAGCAGCATGTCTATGGTGCTGGACTAGTCAATTAACTTAAGCTGCATGTTTTTTGACGGTGGGAGGAAACCAGAGAACCCGGGGGAAACCCACGTGAGCACGGGGAGAAGGTGTAAACTCTGCATGGAAATGTCAACTGGCTTTGTAAGGACTAGAACCAGTGACGTTCCTGCTGTGAGGCAACAGTGTTAACCACTGGGCCACCATGCCACCCATCTAGGAAAGGAGGAGGAGTAGGGGTGGAAGGGGGGATTCTTCAAAACGAAGATGGCTGTCATATGGAACTCAGGGTACTTATAGTGGCTAAGGAATCGTCTGATTGGTCAATCATAAATTGAATAATGCAGGGCCGGCTGCAAGCAATCATAAGCACGTGATCCTCTCCAAATTAGATTATAACTAAACTTCACTAAAAAACCTGCGCATAAAGAAGTAGGAAAAACTTTTTATTCGATAAGAAAACATGCGCATTAACTACGATGGAAACACTTCTCCCAAATGTGATCAGCGCCAATATTACAGTGGTTAAATGCATCAACAGCACCATGGTGCTCACGGTGACCCGAGTTTGATTCCCGGCACGAGGTCCTTTTCCGACCCTTCCCTTCTCTCTGCTCCCAATACTCTCCTGTCTGCCACCTCTACTGTCCTTTCCACATAAAGGTAAAAAACCTCTAAAAATACTTATAAAAGAAGGTCATGTGATATTGTTATAAGAGATCATGTGATGATGGAAATGTGTGTGTGGATAATCCCGCAGGCTGAGCACACTGCACAACATCTGACATGTTGATTTGGTCATTTTAAAATGCCTGAACTGCTTCAGTATTCATTCATTTTCTATTCAGCTTAGTCCCTTTATTAATCCGGGATCACCACAGCGGAATGAACCGCCAACTTATCCAGCAGGTTTTCACGCAGCTGATGCCTTTCCAGCCACAACCCATCTCTGGGAAACACAATGAATGCATGAATGTTCAATCACACACTCATGCACTACGGCCAATTTTCACCTGTAACATGTGTTTGGACACACTATACACTTATGCACTATGTACTTCTGCACTTACACACTCAACAGTGTAGTATATGTATGAAGCGTTGTCCCAAACGGAACACTAACATTTTTTATTGTGCATTAATTCAACCATTTCCTGGATGATGTTGGCCGGTTGCCGAATCAGTGAAGTAAATGATCAAACTACCAAATAACACCTGCCATGAGAATAACCGCAATCACCATCAGGAGGCGCTATAATCCCTCTCATAGGAGAATACTGCTGTCACTATCCAGAATAAATCAAGTAATCCAACATGAGCCACTGAAAGCTCCGCCTCTTCCGCTATGTGAGCAAAGCTGTGGGCGTTGAGTGTGTGAAGTGTCCAGCATTACTCTCTTCTGTTTACCATTCAGGTAAGTAAAGTACACTGGTTAATTTGAGAGTTTTCAGTGTGAACACTCTACTTACACTATTTATACTACAAAATGACAGAATAGTGCATAAGTGTGCGATTTGGGACGGCAGTAACAGACACTGCACACCTGACGCCTCTCCAATGGTCATATAGTGCACGCTTTTCATTCAGCCTGAAAGCTTCCCGCGCTGCAGGAGAGCGGTTGATCTGTCTTATTGATGAGGTAAAGTACAGTCTCAGGTGTATTCGTGATTAGTTAACTTCACTTCAGTGACTGTCGGCACATTAAAGGGATAATTCAACACAAAAATGAACATTTCCAGTTATTTCCGTCACCAACAGGTCATGAAGATGAAGGAGACTCGCATTCATGAGTGGAAGATTAAAGCTGATTTAAGGCTGAATCTGTCACCAGTGGCACGGTGGCTCAGTGGTGTCGCAATGTGGCTACAGAGCACTCAGGTCGCTGGTTCGAGTCCCGGACGGGTCAGTTGGCGTTTCTGTGTGGAGTTTGCATGTTCTCCCCGTGTTGGCGTGGGTTTCCTCCGGGTGCTCCGGTTTCCCCCACAGTCCAAACACATGCACTATAGGGGAACTGATCATCACTTAAACTAGCCTTAGTGTATGAGTGTGTGTGAATGAGTGTGGTGTGTGAATGAGTGTGTATGGGTGTTTCCCAGTACTGGGTTGCAGCTGGAAGGGCTTCCGCTGTGTAAAACACAGCTGGAATAGTTGGCGGTTCATTATATGAAGCACCAAGAAGCACAGATTCAGCTCAGAACCTGCCTTAATGTTCCACTGGATGAAGAAAGTGTCCAACATGTTGCTGAGCGGAGGGTGAGTGAATGAACAGGAGATTTTCAGTTTGGGCTGAACTGCCCCTTTAACTTTACTTCAGCAGCTCTGCACATTATGTAAATCTCCAGACTATACTGGAATCACAATAATGATTAACATCTGAAATTATGCTAACACTTCTGAAAATTCCAGCAAATCTCTTGAATTAGCAATGAAAAGTCACCACCGTCATCATCATAAGGGACACATCAAACTGAGCCCACACGCAGCTCACACCCCCCTGCTCTGAGGACAATGGTTTGATCTGCAGCAATACATAGCAAAGCAATGCGGAACAGTCCAAGGTGCGCACGGGGAGAGGAGTTGGCTGGTGGCACAACGACTTACAGTTTCCATGACAACACAAGCCTTCAATCTGCGGATGGCCGTCCTCCATATTAAATAAGAACGAGCATAAAGCAAAAGGAAAAATAAAAGGAGAGAGAGATAGATGGGCGGCCAAAGAGCTTTCGCTCCCCCGAGCCTTCGCTTAACACACAGCTACAGCAATCTGTAATTATTGTCATGGTTACCAGCAGAATGGCAGTGTGTGTGTGTGTGTGTGTGTTTGAGCTCCTGAAATACAATCACATGCATCAGTGTTAATCACAGGCTGCTTCATAATTCTGTACTGTAGGAGCGTGTGAGTTCTGCATGGTTCATTTCTGCAGGAGCTGCTGGATATGATTAGATCTGCACTTATAGATCAGTTTAGACAGCGAAGCGTACAGCATCACCATGCTGACAGCATTTCTAGACACAAACCTGATTTATGTAATGCATCATGTATGCGCAGCGCAGAGACAGATTAGCTTCAGGGATTGAGAAGCATATATATATTTAGATTGTAAAGTGAAAAACAGATCTCGAATACATCGTAACACACAGGACTGTGTATGCTAGTTAGGGATAGCCATACCACAATTTTTTAATTCGATACCGATACTTTTTGTTAATATTGTTACGATATAGACATTGATACCACTTATTATTTAAAATGACTTTATAACCTAAAGTTATGTTGTTTTAAATTGTAAAAAAAGAACAGAAATCAGTGTTTTAGAAACTAATGAAGACAGCAGAAGTCAATGATTTATTTTCATTATTCAGCCTGACATGTTCACAGCTCCAAAATATATTAATGTTTCTCAAAATAAAACATATTGTGTTCAAATAGACAAAAGTTGTTGTTTTTTACCCAGACCTTTAAATAGAGTATACTGTAGAGCAGCGAGCACAACACCGTCATGTTTTTATCCAAGGTTATCATAACGTCAGAATCTTATACCGGCCCATGCATACTCGTACACCATCCATATACACAAACAGCACAGCGTGTGTGAAGAAAACATATGAAGAGAGAGAGAGAGAGAGTGTGTCATGTGTTTGATTGTACACAGTGTGTGTAGTGTGTATATAAAGTGTTTGTGTATCTGTTAGGGCTGTGCAATTAATGAAAAATCCGATTTCGATTTTGGCTTCTAACGATTATGAAAAACCATTAGTAGAGATAAACGATTATTGCATCATACACCGCCCCTTTCCAGTTGTACACATTTGTTGCTCTTAAAAGTGCAAAAGACTGCGAGCCTCTGTGTGTGTGCGTCAGGTCTCATTCGCACACCTCAGAGACGAGCAGAGCGCACACACATCTAAAGTCATCTTAACGTGAGCACTTTAATGGTTTTGAAACGTGGTGTTTATTGATTATTCATATTAACCCTCATTTGTGTAATAAACAAATGAGTCGAGAATCAAAAGACGTGAAAGAGAAA